AAGGTCGGTGGTTCAAGCTCACCAGCTACTCCTTGGAAACCCTATACAGGGTCGCTATGGGTCGGAATCGACTCCACGGCTCTTAACAACAGCAACAACAGTGACATCCCAGAAGGACAAGGAAAGGGGTCTCATGATGACAGAAACCAGGCAGGGTGGTGCGTCCCCACCAGCTACATGGCATTCGCTAAAGCGCTAATCTGGCTGAGCCTCAGTTTCCTCATCAGTAAAACGGAAATAGTTAATCGTCTGCAGCACTCTGGCAGTGCTTTCTAACCAGGGGTGATTTTACTACCCCACCCCCAGTCCAGGACACAAATCTGCAACATTTGGGGTTGTCACACTTAGATGGGTGTGTGGGTGTGGGTGTGGGTGTGTGTGTGTGCTGGGAGTCCTGGTGTGGTGCTGTAGGATAAGCACTGAACTGTGAACCACAAAGTCAGTGGTTCAAACCCACCATCTACTCCTCGGAAACCCTATACAGGGTTGCTATGAGGATGTTGTGTGACTCAATGGCACTTACTAACAACCACAAATAGCAAAGAATGTTGCTAACATCCTACAGTGGGCACACGAGGAAGCCCGTACAAGACCAAGAATAACCCTGCCCCAAGGGTCAATAGTGCCAAGGTTGAGAATTCCTAAAATGAGGGTGAAGGGACAACATTTCCCGACTCAGGAGCATCTCAGTAACTGACTCAGGAAATCATCTCAAATGTAATCCACTCCCCAGGAGATAAGGTTGTTACTCTGGACAGTCACAGTGCCTGCCAGCCACCTCCACATGCCATGTGACAGTTCATGAAATAAACACAACATAGACATCAACCGGGAACGTGAAGGCTCCACACAATGAACACTGGACTGCAAACCAGAAGGTCCGGAGATCCAGTCCGCCAGCCGCTCTGTGAGAGAAAGATGAGGTTTTCCACTCCTGAAAAGAATTGAAGCCTCAGAAACTATACACAGTTGCTAAGAGTCGGAACTGAGTCGATGACTCTTAACAACAATAAAGACAAAAGTTAGGGGAGTTTTCAGGTGTGCTATGGATGGGGGCTTTGGCCAGAAATACAACAATAAAGGGGGAAACTGCTCCCCAGAACCGAAGTCTACAATCACGGATCCAGATATCCAGGCCAAGCCCCAGAACACCATGGTGGGAGTGAGTTTCTGGGTGCCCAGCCTGGCTCTACATCCACTGGTCAGTGACCAGCATGCAGCCCAACACCACCAGATTCCAGAGGAGGTGCTAGGGTTCCTTATTTTTTTTTTGCTTGACTGAGTCCTTCATTCATTCTACATTGGGATGAGGGTCTCCCTACTGTGCACACATATTCTAGTAAGGACAAAGGCCCAGAAAAGAAGTCACCCCAGATGGATTGCAATTGTACTTGGGAAAGGAGACCTGCAGGCATAAAGGTTAAGTGCTCAGCTGCTGGCTGAAAAGTTGGCAGTTCGAATCCAGCTGGTGGTTCTATGAGGAAAACAGGTCTGGCCGTCTGCTCCTGTAAAGATTAAGCCTTGGAAAACCTCTGGGAACATTCTACTCTGTCCTGTGAATTCACTATGAGTTGGAATCAACACAACGGCACACAACCACTCGTGAAAGGGTTTTAAGAGACATGACCAGGGACCAGGATGGAGACTAACAATGGAAACCCCCAGTTTCCATAGGAACCATGAAGAAGGGGCAGCTTGATTGAAAGGCAGAGGAAGGTTTCCAGTCGAGAGAACAGGACATGCCCAGTCAGCCACTGAGGGAACTGGGTTTACCGGCTACCATGCAAACCAAAGTCAGATTTCCACGATGTTTATGAATGAAGGACTGACTGGACTTGTGGGGCAGGACAGGAAAGCTGCTGTGGGGTCCAGGTGAAGGGCAAAGGGGCTTCTGCTAAGATGGCGCACACCCGGTCGGTTTAAGGTATATTTTGGAAACCGAAATCAATAAGACGTGCAGATGGATAGGAGGTGGAGAGGATCATTAAGAAAACTCCCCTCAGTCGCTTCCCCCACAAAATCTGTCCCGGGTCTTTGGAATCCCAGGAAAGGTGTGCTTTGGCCTCTCCCTCTCTACCTGGGCTCTGGGTCAGCCCACCACCTCTCTGTGCCTGGTTTTCACCTTGACACAGTTTGCAGGGGAGTCAGTGAACTAATGATGCAGGTGAACAAAGCCTGGGGTGTGGGGCAGGCGCTGGTGTGAGGAGGAACAAGGTGTCACCTCTCACAGCCAAGAGGAATGTGTCATCTGAGGCAGTGGGATCTGGATGCTAATCCGGGCCCATCGCTCAATGGCTTCAACAAGCTGTTCCATTTCCCGGAGCCTCAGTGTGCTCATCTGTAAAATGGGACTTGCCATTTTACTCACCCATTTTGGGTGAAGATGAAATGTGGTCATAGATACAGGGTTTAGTAGGTGCTCAGTAAATCAAGTCACACCAAATCAGTTGTCATCAGTCAATTCGGACTCCTGGTGACCCCGGGTGTTAATATTCAAGGCTATGACAAAAGCAGATCACCAGATCTGTCTTCCCATTGTCTCTGGTTGGTTTTGAACCATCAACCTTTTGTTAAGTAGTCAAGCACTTAGCTATTGACACCAGCCAAGTAACAGTTTTGCAGTTGTTAGTTGCCATCAAGTTGATTCTGACTCTTAACAACCCTGTATAGGGTTTCCAAGGAGTGGCTGGTGAGTTTGAACTACCAACCTTTCGGTCCCATGCTTATCCTCCAGCGCCATACCAGAGCTCCTCAGGAACAGTTGTTCTAATTAAAATAGATTTGATTCAGGTGGAACAGGAGGCCTGAGTCTTGAACTTGCAGCCCAGTGAGCTTGTGTGTTGCTGAGCCCTCACCAGAGGACCTGCTCTCCAGGGAGACCCAGGGGCACTTGGAGAATCGACTCATAGACATCAGACCCCTAGTATTCACCTAGGCAGGGAGGGAGCTAGTCACAGCCCACAACAGAGACCTCTCTGCTTCTGAAGAAACGGAGCCTCAGAGAATGAAAGGCTTTATCCAAGGTCATCTGGCCAGCTGCCTCATGGGGACGATGGGAGACCAAAATGACCCTTCTATACCCCTCTGGGACCCTGCCTCTGCAACTCCTCAGACTGCCAGCTTAGTGGACTCTGTCCTCCTCTCTCTTCCCAGGTCCTCCCCTGCCCTCTAGAAACTTCTTCTCCCTTTTCATCCCTCCTCTCTACTCCCTGAACTCTTGTGTTCAGTTGAGCTGCATTTTCTCTTTAGAAGCATCTTAACTGTATTACACTGATTGTTCTGATGCATTGCAGGAGGGACCACATTGTGCTGAGGACACAGACATCAAGTCACCCACACACATTTGGCCTCTCAAAGACTTGGACCAAGGCCACTCTCCCTGGAAAACCAGAGGGAGTGTCGGGCTGGGAAACTTGGGCTGTGTTTCTAAATTATCTGCAGATGAGCAGCTATCAGTGGTGGTGGCAAAGGCAGGGAGCTCATAGGGGAGGGCCCATGGGTCTCAAGAAATCACACGGTATGCTAGTTAGGAGCATGGACTTTGAGGGGCAGAACTGGGTTAGTAAGCTACCTAGCTTCTCTAAACCTCGGATATTTTTGTTGTTGTTGTTAAGTGCTGTCAAGTCAATTCTGACCTATAGCGACCCTGTATAGGGTTTCCAAGGAGCAGCTGGTGAGCTTGAACCACCGACCTTGCAGTTCAAATGACTTGCAATCTGATACATTAGCCCACAGCGCCACACCAGGAAACCTCTTATAGTTAATTGCCTTCTGACTCACGACAATCCTGTGCACAATAGAACAAAATGCTGCCTGGCCCTGCATTATATCAGCCAATATTTTATATGGTTCATAGGGTTATCCTTGACTCGATTTCAGAAGTAGATTGCCAGTCCATTCTTCCTAGTCTTCTTACTCTGGATGCTTCATTGAAACCTACCTGTTGGGATTTGAATGATGGCAGTGGGGAGGGTGGGGGTGGGCACAGTTGTTAGCATCAGAGCAACACCTAAACCATTACACACTGACAGATGGGTGGTGGGGATCTCAACTTGCCCGTTACAAAGTGGGTGATCCTATAGAACAGAAATATATATTCTCACACTTCTAAAAGTGCAAACTGGGGTCTTGGCCCTATTGATTCCTTCTGTGAGCTTCTCTCCGAATTTCTGGTGAGTGCTGGCAATCTTGGCTGCCTGTTACAGACATGTCTGCTTTGTCCTCACATGATGTCTTCCCCCGGTGGTGGTTGTGGGGGTTAGCTCCCATCAAGTCAGCCTCTGATACATAACAACCACATACACAACAGATCGGAACACTGCCCGGTCCTGTGCCATCCCCAGGTCAGACCATGGTGATGGACAGAGTTTGCACTGAGTGGTTTCCGGACAGATCACCGGGCCTTTCCTCTTACTCCATCTCAGACCATCTAAGTCAGGAAGCTCAACTGAAACCTGCTCAACATCATAGCAACGTACCAGCCTCCGCAGACAGATGGGGGCGCCTTGGCCAGGTGCAGTTTCTGCAGCACAGTGGCCAGGAGGGACTCCCTATGGTCGATAGAACTACTACTGTCCCTAAAGTGGAGGAGGTTAGAGATCAGATACAAAGACATGTTTCTAGTTCCATGGAAGCTCAGAGCTCCAAAATTCTGGCAAAGTTGAACACGGGAAAATCCTCTGCCCCTACGCACGCACACTTAACCTGGGTGGGATGGCAGGGCAGTTTCTTACCTGGTGTCCAGTCCTTTTCTCCTCCTTCCCCTCCCCACCATTAGAGGCCCATGTCCCCAAGTCTGTCCTGGGCCCCCTGTCACTCACCAGCATCACTGTCTCTGTACGGTGCTGCACTATGGCAGCTGAGCAATATCAGATACACTCTTCTCTCTTTCTCCCAGGCCTCCTACATTCCTACATCACCTCCTTGGCTCAGGGAAGAAGTACTAGGCCCAGGCCTTCTCTGAGAACTTTGCTTTCCTTCCAGAACCAGGAGCAACCACAATGCAACTCTTCTTCGTCTTGTACCTGATGCTTCTCAGCACTGAGGTTTCCACCCTCGGCGGCCACTACAGCCGAGAGTTGAGGAGGGGAGGCGTGAGGCTCCCCCTTGCTACCAAGGGGTCTCCCAGGAGCAGGGATTTTGCCTTCAACCTCTACAGGGCCTTGGCTTCAGCTGACCCTGGTCATAACATCTTCTTCTCGCCGCTGAGTATCTCTGTGTCCCTGGCCATGCTCTCCCTGGGGGCTCGGTCCCACACAAAGATGCAGATCCTGAAGGGCCTGGGCCTCAGGCTCCGGGACAGCCCAGAGGAGGCTCTCCACAGAGCCTTCCAGCAGTGTCTGCAGACACTCAATGGGTCCCAGAATGACCTCCAGCTGAGCCTTGGCAACGCCCTGTTCACAGACCAGAAGTTGGACGTTCAGGACTCCTTCCTGAACTCCGTGAAGGTGCTGTACCTGGCAGACACTTTCCCCAGCAACTTTGGGGACCCTGCCAAGGCCAAGAAACAGATCAACGATTATGTGGCAAAACAAACGAAGGGCAAGATTGTAGATTTGATTAAAGACCTCGATAGTGATTCAGTGATGGTCCTCGTGAACTACGTTTTCTTTAAAGGTAAGACCCTGACCCTGAACTTATGCTTTATCTCTCAAAAGAATACCCAATCCCCTTACACATAAATGCGAGGGAGTGGGGACAGTCCCTGCTGGTGACGTTGATGGCAGTCACAGGTGTGAAAAATCAGTTGCCATCAACTCCACTCAGGGCACCCCCATGTATGTCAGAGTACAACTGTGTTCCGTAGGGTTTTCAATGGCTGGTTGTGGCAGTAGATTCCCAGGCCTTTCTTCCAAGGTACTTCTGGGTGGATTCAAACCTCCAACATTTTGGCTAACAACCAAACGTGTTAGCCCTTTGCACATCCGGGGACTTGCACTGTGGAAGGGCGGTGCTAGTAAAATTAGAGGTCGTGTCCCTCAATCCACAGGAACCCCTGGGGTCCTCGATATTGCCACTCCCACGCAGACTTCTAAATGAGTCCTTGTGGTCGTCACAGTGACCAATTGGAACTGTGCACCTAAGGGGACATTAGAGGGCATGTCGGAGACAGATCCCTCGTCCCTGCAGCTGGGAGTTGTTTGCGTGGCTGAGAAATCCATAGACAAGTGTCTCGGTGTCTCTGGAAGTCTCTTCTCCCTGCCTCAGGAAGAACTGACCCCATGTCTTCACCTCCCATAGTGGTTACGAATCGGGCTGCAAACCTTAAGGTCAGCAGTTCAGAACTTCCAGCTGTTCTGCGGGAGAAAGATGAGGCTTTCTGCTCCTGTAAAGATTGACAGCCTCGGAAACCCTGTGCAGGGTCGCTATGAGTCAGAACTGACTCCACGACACATAACCAACACCACTCTTGTCAGCTCACTATCTTCTCCCTTCCTGGATGCTGACCCCATGGCCTTACACAGGGTCTGGCTCAAGATGAGAAGTGGGGGAAATGCAGGTTTCCCTCACTATCTGGAAGTGGAGCGTTCCTATGAAACCTTTCTCAAGCCTGAATGACATAAATTACCTTTAATTTTTATGGCACATTTTTTTAAGCATTCTTGTTGTTGTTGTCAGGTGCCATCAAGTCGGAACCGACTCATAGCGACCCCATGCACAGCAGAACGAAACAATGTTCGATCCTGGGCCAACCTCACTACCGCTGCCACACTTGAGTCCATCAATGATGCCACCTGGCTGATCCATCTCGTTGGGGGTCTTCCTCTTTTTCTCTGACCCTCCACCCTACCCAGCATGACATCCTTCTCCAGTGATTGTTTCCTCCGGACAATATGTCCAAAGTAGGAGAGATGAAGCTTAGCCATCCTGGCCTCCAAGGAGCACTCTGGTTGCACTTCTTCCAAAACAGATCTATTGGTTCTTTTGGCAGTCCATGGCACTTTCAGTATTCTCCTCCAACACCACAACTCAAAGGCATCAATTCTTCTACGGTCCTCCTTATTCACTGTCCAGCTTTCGCATCCATATGAGGCATTCTTAGACCCCCCAAAAAATTACCTACCAAATCATGATGTTGTTATTGCAGTGAAGTGCCACCAAGTCTGTTTTGAGTCACAGTGCCAACTGTATAGAGTTTCCAAGGGGCAGCTGGAGGGTTTCAACCACCAACCTTGTTGTTATCAATCCAGTGCTTATCCTACAGCACACCAGTATTGTTGTTGTTGTTGTTGTTGAGTGCCATCGAGCTGGTTCCGACCCATAGTGACTCTGAACAGGGTTTCCGAGGCTGTAAATCTTTATGGGAGCAGAAAGCCTCATCTTTCTTCCGTGGAGCAGTGGGTAGTTTTGAACTGCTGACCTTGCGGTTTGCAGCCCAATTCGTAACCACTACGCTACCAGCGCTACCAGGATTATATGTTTTTTAATATGGCTAAATCACTTATTCTGTTGTTGTTAGTGCTGTCGAGTCAGTTCTGACCCATAGCGACCCTGAATAAGGTTTCCAAGGAGTGGTTTGTGAGCTTGAACCACCAACCTTGCAGTGTAGCGTATTAACCCACAGTGCCACACCAGGACTCCAAATAACATATAAGACCTAAAATAACACTAACATGTAGTGTTCACATTGCCCATATTCCCAGAGGATGGCACACCAATCCTCTTTCCCTGTGGGCTCAGAGGACTGCGTGGATGCTGCAGGGAGCAGATGGAGGAGGGCTGCCCCCAGCTTCCACTTCCAAGCTCTCCGCTGGCCCTGAAAGTCCCAGCCTACTGAAACAACCCCCTCAGATTCCTAGTGTGGCACTGTAGGATAAGCACTGTGCTGCTAACTGCAAGTTCAACAGTTCAAACCAACTGGTTATTCCTTGGAAACTCTGTACAGTGTCTCTATGAATCGGAACCGACTCAACAGCACTTAACAGCAACAAACTTGGGCATCTAGTAGGTTGTCAAACCACCAGTCATCTGTCAGTTTGTCATACTGTGGTGGCTTGCATGTTGAGGCTGGACACCGTGGCCTGAATACTGGAAACACCAGCAGACTCACCTATGGTGGCCAGATTTCAGCACAGTTTCCTTCCTAAGACAGACTAGGAAGAAGGCACTAAGGACTACTTATGAATGTTTAGCCACAGAAAACTTTATGAATACTAGAGTCCTGGTGTGGCTCTGTAGGATAAACACTGAACTGCAAGATTGGTTAGAGTCACAAGATTGGCTGTTCAAATCCACCAGTCGGTCCTCTGAAACCCTATACACGGTTACTATAGGTTGGAACTGACTCATGGCACTTAACAACAGCAAGCAGTGGAATACTGTCAGGTAGTACCAGAATATTGAAACTTTATGACGAGCACCAGAATATTGTCAGATACAGTGCTGGAAGATGTGTCCCTCAGGTTGGAAAATAACTCACTCCTATAGCAGGGGTTTTGCCAGTCTTCCGTGTTTCCCCATATTACCTGGGTAATTGGCTTTGAGTCGCACCAGGGTACCCAAGAACATTAGTAGTGAAAGTTTCCAAAGACATGGAAACCAGCCTCCTGGTTTTATAATTGTGCAAGGATTATTGTTGTTAAGTGCCGTCGAGCTGGTTTTGACACATAGCGACCCTGTATAGGGTTTCCGAGGAGCAGTTGGTGAGCTTGAACTGCCAACCTTGCAATTCAAACGGCTTTGCAGTCTGGCGCATTAACCTACAGCGCCACACCAGGACTCTTGTGCAAGGATAGACCCCTACAAATGTTAGGGACTTGCCTTTATCTTCAAGGCTGTTCAGCCATCACTTGTACTCACAATTCTCTAAAGAAGATGATCTTTGTTGACTATGTGGATCATCTCCAATCTTTTTCCATTTGCTGGCTCTTGCACAAAGTTCCCTTCAATGTTTCCTTTCCGTTTAAATCTTCAGCTAAATGGAAGGCAAGTTTCAACCGTAAAAACACCCAGGAGAAGCCCTTCTATGTGAACTCGGAGACGGTGGTACAAGTACCCATGATGAACCACGAGGACCTGTTCTACTACTTTGAAGACCTTCATCTCTCCTGCAAGGTGGTAGGCATCCCCTACCAAGGCAATGCCACCGCTCTGTTCATCCTCCCCAACGTGGGCTCCATGGAACAGGTGGAGAATGGACTGAATGGGAAAACACTGCAGAAGTGGTTCAAGCTGTTCAGAAGGAGGTACTTTCAGACAACACCCGGGTCAACCCCAGATTCCCTCAGAGACAGAATGGCACCAGATAAGGCAGCATTTTGTTCCGTTGTTTCTTGGGTCGCTATGAGTCCGAGCCAACTCAGTGGAACTCACCAACAACAAAGCTGAGCAGTGGTGGTAGGCACGACTCCCTCCATAGGATGGGAGTAGCCTCCAAATCTGGATTCATCATGGGAAGTCCCAACTCAGTTGGAGGGACCAGAGATCGAAGTTGAGTTTTGTGGATGATGCTAGAGCAGGCAGTGACCTCCTTGGAGATAGTTTTCAAGACCAAGTCTATCGTGGGGTGAATGAGGTGTCAGCGGGAAGATGTCAGGGTTGTGAATTCAGGGAGTCCAAGTTCTACAGGACACCACTTTTCTGTCAGTTTGTTGGACTGTGGTGGCTTGTGAGTTGCTGTGATTCTGGATTTTAAATACCAGCCTGGTGGACAGGCTTCAGATAAGCTTCCAATCAAAGATAGACTAGGAAGAAGGAGCGACGAACTAGTTCTGAATATTTAGTCACTGAAAATCTTATGAATAGCAGAGATACACTGTCAGATGCTCAAGCATGGCAACAGTTGTGAGGTTGGGCTAGGACCAGGCAGTATTTCGTTCTATTGTACACAGGTCACTATGAGTCAGTACCGACTTGATGGCACCTAATAAAAACAATAAGTTCTAGAGAAATGTAAGAACAGTCCTTTTCTCTTTCCAGGCAGCTCCAGGTCTACCTTCCCAGATTCTCCATCGAGGGCTCCTATCAGCTGGAGAAGGTCCTCCCCCAGCTGGGGATCCGTGAGGTCTTCACCTCCAAAGCTGACTTGAGCGGCATCACCAACCACTCGAGCGTCCATGTTTCTGAGGTGAGTTCTGAAGCTCCTGAGAGGTTTCTTCTCTCACTCTCTCTACCCAACTCTCTCTCCCCCCTCGTCCTCTCTCCTCTTAAGAAAGAGGCACTGATTTCACTTTGTGTCTTATCTACATGCCATGGGCAGCTAGATCCATCACCTGTGCCTTAGGGGGAAAGTCCTGTATTAAGCAATCAAAACTAAGGATCCTGTGCTAGCTCTTTTACTCATTAGCTGTGTGACCTCCAATAAGTTACTTGACATCACTGAGACTCCTTTTCCTCTGGGGACTCACCCTAGCTACCAGAACTGTCACACAAGAATTCAGTGAAATCTTTATGTACAGTCACTCCAAGCATAGCCCCCTGGTGTCTAGTACCCACTCTGGTGCTTAGCTTCCTACCTGCTTCATCCCTATAGCATGGGATGCTTTGATGGTGGTACCCACAAGACATTGTCTGTGAGGACATCATCTAGTCCCTAGTGACTCAATGATGCCTGCATCTCCTCTGCAGATGGTCCACAAGGCCGTGGTGGAGGTGGATGAGTCGGGAACCAAAGCAGCTTCGGCCACAGGGTCGGTCATCATGTTCAGGTCGGCCTATAGGAGAAATTCCAAGGTTGTCTTCAACAGACCCTTCCTGATGCTCATTATGGAACAAAGAACCAAGGGAATCCTCTTCTTGGGCAAAGTAACCCACCCTGAGGTGGGGACTTCTTCTGAAAGACCACAGGCACCCATGAAGGGGAATGGGAAGAGCCCCAGGCCCCACCTGTCTGCTGAGTGATGTCCACAGGTCCAGCTGACAGATGAGAAGTCACAGATAACAATAACATTGATGTATTGATATGTACTTCTTTTCACCCAGTCTCAGGACACTAATGCCCTTGAAAAACTTTAGATAACATTCAATTTGTCCTCATGTTTTCATCAAGAGGAGACCCAGAGATAAGACTCTTGTGGTTCAGTAGTTAGTAATTGCATTTGTTGCAACTGTAAAGGTAGAGGTTTTGTAGCAAGAGGGGAGTGGTTGATCTTGCAGTTCAGGATCAGAGAACCTGGGGCCATCAAGGGAGAAGAGCAGGAGCGGAGTGTGGGACCCTATTTAGAGAAGCAGAGATGCCAGAGATGGAGGCAGAGCTGATGATGTAGAGAGATGGAGCAGCTGGAGACTCTAGACTCATAGGGGGAGAGGGGCTGTGTGTTGGCTGGGGAGCAGGCTTGCAGCGTATGCCCTTTGGGTATTTGAATGATTGTATATTCCTGAGTGCCTCGGTGTACATCAAAAACAACAAAAACAAACAAACAAAAAAAAAACAACAAATACAGAGGGAATAGAAGCAAACACTGAATGATGATGCATGGAGGGGATTGTAATCATTGCAATGAAACAAAATACGTTAGGATGAGTGTAAAACTGATGTTCTCCCATGTAAACTAACACTCAATTCAAAATAAAAACTTTAAAAACAAAAAGATGAGACCCAGAGAGGCTGGCTGATTTGCCCAAAATCACATAATGTATTAGTGTCAGAGAGAGGTCCAGAGCTCTGGTTCCTGATGCCCAAACCAAGCAGGGTTGCCTCAGAGATGAGGTTCACCAGGAAGCATATCTCCACGCCTGGTCCTCATCTATCAGTAATGTTGTTGTTAAGGGCCATCAAGTCAATTCCAACACATAGCGACCCTGTTTTAGGGTTTCCTTGAAGTGGCTAGTGAGCTTGAACCGCCAACCTTGCAGTTCAAACCTGCTTTGCAGTCCAGTGCATTAACCCACAGAGCCACACCTGGTCCTCTGTCCATGAGTAATAGCAGCCGTCAGTTCAATATGGATTGGAAACAGTCCTCTGCTCTAGGCCAAGACAACTGTGTGACTTTAGGGTAGTATTATCTCGCTCCAGACCTCATCTCTCCATGTGTGCAATGAAGGATCAAATCTAAATGCACTCTTGAAATCACAAAGGAATGCTGAGGTGTGCCCCACCATGATATCTTTGTGCTCGGTGCCATTTGTGGTCTTCAAAGAACAAGTGGGCAGCGGGTAGATGTGGTCCATAGCAGGACCGTGCTATCCTGAAGGTTAAGTACCGTCTCCTGGGCCTGGCTGAGGTGGGAGAGGGAGGCTAGCGACCTGTTGCAAATAGCAAAAGTGTTGATTGATGACACTGAGGACTAACTTTGCATTTTACTGTCAACAGTAACAATAAAGCATTTTGCAAATCTGCGTGTCATTATCTTTATGGAGTTCTGGAAATGGCAACATTAATTGCTTATTATGCTCCAGAATTACTGTGGAGCCCTGGTGTGGCTCTGTAGGATAAGCATGGGAACACACAGTCGGTTTGAGCCACAAGGTCAGTAGTTCAAATTCACCATTCGCTCCTTGGAAATGCTATACGGCATTGCTATGAGTTGGAACCAACTCGACGGCTCTTAACAAGAGCAACATGCTCCAGACTTGCTGCTGTGACCTCACCTGGAGGCTCATGTGTGAAACCAGGTGCCTCCTGAGACCAGAAGAACTAGATGGTGCCCTCCTGCCACTAACACCTTCGCTGACTAGGGTCACAACTGCAATTCCTGGACAGAGTGGGAGAAAAATGTACAACAAAAACTCACGTTCACAAAAATGATCAAATTTACTGGTTTGACAGACTAGAGGAACCCTCAAGACTTTGACCCTAAGACACTATTCTGGCCTAGAATCAAAACCATTTCTTTCACCAAACAATAGACCACATTTCAGCCAAACAATAAACAGGCTCATAGGATAAACACTGGACTGTGAACCACAAGGTCACCAGTTCAAGTCCACCAGTCACTCCTTGAGAGAAAGATGAAGCTTTTTGCTTCTGTAAAGATTTACAGCCTCGGAAACCCTAGACAGCGTTTTATGAGTCAGAACTGACTCAAAAGCACTTAACAACAAGAAGAAAAATAAAATAAACAGCAACACTTAGGGGGAACTTATTCTTTAAGTATTCTTTAGAACCATCAATTGTATGAGATCAAAAGGACAACATTTGCCCAAAAGCAAAGATGAGAAGGCAGGAAGGAGTGGAAAATTCAGAAGAATTTCTAAGAAACTGAAAACCCAGGGCATAAATGGGGAGAGTGCTAACACATTGTGGAGAATCCAACCAATGTCGTGAAATACACTATGCATGCCCTACCAAGTGGGAAATGAATGGACTCTGCAAATGGTCGCCTAAAGCACAATTTTTAAAAAACTGAATTAAAATTAAATAAAACTGGTTGCCATTGAGTCAGGGTCCTTGGTGATACAAACTAACCTGAAGGGTGGCAGTTCAAACCCACCCAGCGGCACCACAGAATCTGCTTCCATAAAGAAAACACTAGGGTACAGTTCTACTTTGAAACACATCAGGTTGCTGTGACTTGGAATCAACTTTAGGACAGTAGATTGACTTTAGGTTACCACTCATGGTAACCCTTATTCTCCATAGAGTTTTCCTGGGTGATTTTTGGATATAGATTCCAGGCCTTTCTTCCAAGGTACTTTTGGGTGACTTAGTTTACCTTCACAATATACCTGTGAAGCAAGGACAATCATCCCCATTTTAGAGATGGGAAAAGTGAGGCTGGCCCAGATGACCCAGCCAAGGTGGTGGAACACAGATTTCATCCTTGGGAAGGGCTACAGTCACTCGCCATCTGTACTCTGCTGGGAGGGAGGATTCTCAAGGGCCAAAGGCAGACACATCTCTACCACCAACTCCCCGAGTGGTCTGAGGCCCCCTCAACTCCTTTATGAAGCCCCTCACATTTCCTTGTCATAAAATGATGGCTGTGGATACATCAAAGAATCAATAAATGAATAAAGGAAACCATTTCTCGCTCAATCTCAAGTTGTCCCCTAATTAGCTGTCCCCAAGTCTGAGCCCTAAGCTCCTGTCTCCTCCACCTCTGTGTTTCAGAACATGCTCAGGCATGCTTTCTACAAGGCTGACCACACAGTCTGAACTATATCACAGATGGGAACTCTTAGAACTCACAAGGTCAGAAGCCCAGCGTTTGATCATCCCCCAAAGCACTGAGCACTTCTTATGCACTGTCCTTACCAGACACGTGGCCTTCGTGAGCTCATGGGTACCTGGAAAACCTTGTAAGCATCATCATGCTCCCATGCACAGAGGAGAGCATTCTTGCCTGAAGTCCCTGGCTGGGACATGAAAGATGTCTGGTGGATCTCAGATGGTCCATGTTCTGGCTGCAGGGACAGCTTGTCTGTTTTTGTGCTTTGAGCTCAGGACAGCTCTTCTCATAAAGCGAGGGGTGACACCATCCTGCGTGCCTTTCCCTGTTGGCCCTGTGAAATATGTCTACCACTGCTTTCCCAGCCCACCCAAGGTCAGTGGGGAGACCCTTCATAAGTGACATGTATGAGGTTCCCAACCTGTTCCCTTTATTCGATTCTGACTCTGGAGACCCCATGTGTCAGAGTGAAACTATCCTGCAAAGGGTTTTCATTGACTGTGATTTTACAGAAGTCGAGGATCTGCAGGCCTTTCTTTGTTGGTTCTTCTGGATACATTCAAACCACCATCCTTACTATTAGTTGTTATTGTTGCTAAGTGCCGTCGTGTCAGTTCCAACCCATAGCGACCCTGTACAGGGTTTCCGAGGCTATAGATCATTATGAGAGCAGAAAGCCTCATCTTTCTCCTGTGGAGTGGCTGGTAGTTTCGAACTGCTGATCTTAAGGTTCGCAGCCCGATTCGTAACCATGATGCTACCAGAGTTCCTTAGACATGCGCAAACCCTTTGCTTAACTCAGGGACCTTGGCCAAGGTCCCATGCTGTCTAAATCACTCCACCAATGATCACAAAGCAGCTCCTGTGTCCAGAGGCCTGAGTGGACTCTGAGTGGTGCTCCTCTCACATACTGATGACTGTTAACCTGGAGGTGGTGGTGGTGTTAGGTGCCGTCGAGTTGGCTCCAAGTCTGGTGGCGTAGTGGTTACAAGTCAGGCTGCTAGTCTCAAGAGCAGCACTTAGAAACTACTAGCTATCCCACGGGAGAAAGATGAGGCTCTCTGCTCCCATTAAGATTTACAGCCTGAGAAACCCTCTGCAGGGTCACTGTGAGTCGGAACCGACTCCACGGTACACCATCACCACATAACCACCCTGTGTGCCACTGAATGAAACGCCGCGTGGTCTTACACGATGCTCACAATTGCCTTTACATTTGCGCCCATAACTGCTGCGTTGGTAAAGTCGGGGGGGGGGGG